GTGCTGGCGCCCCCCGAGCGCAGGTCGCCGCTGGAGGCGCCAAAGCGGGCAGAGTCGGCCCCGCCCACCGGCGCCGCCGACCCGCTGGCAAAGATCCTGGCCTACGCCCGCCTCGATTTTGACAACTATACCTTCTACATCCAGACGTTGCAGGTGGTGCTTGGCCGCAAGCTGAATATGCCCCAGCTGCTGGCGCACCACGCCGTCGACGTCCACCTATCGCTGAAGAAGGCGATCCTGCGCCGCCACGCTAAGATCTTCTATAACTTTGCCAGTCAACGGTTTGAGCTTTCCATCATGGGGCGCAACGGCGCCTTTGTCGACGACCTGTTCGTGGAAAAGGGAAATACCGTGGCGCTTGCCCATGACACGAAAGTGCAGTTTGGCGATATCCTGTTTAAGTTTGTCTTACCGCTGATGGACGATAACACGCTGAAAAAGCGCAAGCTGAAGCCGATAAACCCCAGTGACGCCCTCAACATGCGCCTGACCCTCATGAGCAGCCAGGCGCTGCCGACGAAGCGGCGGGCGCTGAAGCCTGAAGGTGATGGTGAAGAGGCTACTGAGAATGGCACCGATAATGGTACGGCTACAAAGACGCCAACACCGAAATTACCGCCTCCAGCCACGGAAAAGGAAGCCACTGCCCTCACTAAAGAAGAAGCAGCAGCCCGCGCCCACCGGCGCAACTCGCTCCTCAAAATACGGCGTCTCAGTCAGACCCGGCGCAAGTCGTTGGCTACTTTGGCGGATAACGAGATCGACGATATCCTTAAAGAATTGGGCGTATCGCTGATTGACGCCATTGAAGGTGATGACAGCATTGACGTCCAGCTCCAGCTGATATTGGACGGTCTGGTGTTTGACGAGGAAGACGAGGAAGGCGCTGCTGCCGCTGCGCTTGACCAGCAAATTGCGCTGCTTGCACCCCTCATCAACGCCCCGGCGCCGCCACGTCCCAAGTATAGCGCCGGCCAGCGGCCTCAACTTGAAGTGCAAGTGCTCCCAGTACCGGCGGAAATGTCGCCCATGCGCTATAAGCCACTGCTTCGGGCAATTACCGTGAGCATCGAGCCGCCGCTCTCGCTGTTTGGCGTGCCCATAATTGATGATGAGCCCCTCACTCATCCCAAGACGCCGCGGCCGCCGATGGCGCTTCCACCGAAGCCGCCTCGTCCTAACATCCCGCTTGAAGAGATTAGCGAACAGCATCGGGTGAAGCCGCCAGTGAGCGCCGCCGATATGGTGGCGCAGGTACTCAAACCGCACCCTAAGGGTCTCGCTTTAAGCGATATCATCGAAGGCATCAGGGCCCACTATCCATACTTCCAGTTCAGCCAGGAGCCCTGGCAGTTCGGCATCGCCCACACCGTCAAACATAACAAGATGTTCAGTCGTCTTCGCAAAAACCCCGCCAACCAGTGGGTATTTGGCGTCGACCAGATGTACCTAGATGAGAGGGAACTGGTGCGGCGCAAGCAGCAGGAGATGCTCGCGGTGCGCACCCGCGACGCCGCCCTTAGGGCTGAAGAGATGAAGCGCTATGGTGGCTATAACTCCAGTTATACTTCGGGCTACACTCTGAGTCATGCTGCTACTACATACGGTAGCGGACCTAAGCCGCCACCAATGCTGCGTCCGGGCCCGCTGATTAAAGACCAACTTGCCCATAATCGCCGTCCAGCGCCGTCGAGCGCGCTGCCGTCACTGCTGCCGGCGCCGGCAGTGTCGACACCGTCGGGAGGAGCAGCGACAATGACTTCAGATACGAAGAAGACATTAGCCTACGTGCAAACAGAGTTGCTTACTTTGTACAAAGCGCGCCAGCTTTCATTCTCAAAGGCCACAACCACCGAAATTATCACTAAGGCCCTCGCCACCACCATCGCTCAGGTTAATGCCATTGGCGCCAAGCTGGGGTGTGGTGACAACGCCCTCAATTTCTTAGTGGAAAAGGCACCCAAACAAGTGCTGAAAATCTTGGATATTGCCCTCAGCAAGCTGATCAAGGAGGTGGAACCGGAGCCGGCTCCGAGCTCAACCCCGAGCCCGACCCCGGCGCCGGCGCCGTTATCGAAACCTCTGTTCAAAGCCAAACCTCCTGGCCTTATGGGCAAGCCCGGGGCGTTCTCTCGGCCGGGTCCGGGGTCGCTGCTGGGTGGAGGCCTTTCGCGTCCTCCGACATTCTTGTCCAACAAGGATAAACGTCCCGTCGATGATGCTGATGACCTGGCACGCAAACGGGCGACGCTCAGCCGGCCCTAATTCGTTGGTTTAATTTCTTAATCAGGTAATTCTTAATAGACAAACTAGATGAACATCAATGGTAACTACCTTTGATTGAGATATCCGATAGAAATATACGTCTAACTAGTTCACAATGCTGAAGAAACACATGTGAGTTGGTTGCAGAGTAAGCTTCATTACTTGACCATAATCATTGACTATCTGTGTGTATATTGTATTTGTTGATTTCATAACCTCACTTAATTAACCGTCCAAGTAGGCCTTGACGACACTAACTTCGATGGCGTCAAAGCCGAAGTCCACGGGAGTATTCTCATACAAAATATTCCATCTACCGGGGTAGTAGCCGTTGGGATTGGGCTCGGTCTCAATGAACTGGCGCCGCGCCTCGGGAGTCAGTCTGATGTACTCCAAGTATGCCGGCACCCCGTACTTCATCTTACAGTTATCGGCGACAATCACCAGCCCCACCGTGACCAAGTTAAGTGTCTCAACGGTTCTGATATCGGGGAGGTACAATTCTTTTGCGTGGTCAATCAACAAGAAGTCAAGCACCGAGCGTTTGCTGGGCTCGCTGAGGTTCAATTCGTCGTGCAATTTCACTAACGTGGTGGCCAGATCACCCAATAAGAATTTCACGTTGGTAAGCCCCGCCAACTGGATAAAGTGCTGGGCAATGTCTCGGTACTCAGGAATGACCTCAAGCGAGTAGTAAGTGCCCAGCACCAAGGGGGCGAACCGGAGGGCCAGGTAGCCCACGTACACACCTAACTCAGCCCCGTGCTTCGGCTTCAGCTGACGTAAACGGTTGCGGATCTCCTCGGACTTGGCGGCGCCAATGGTCATGATCCGGTTCTCCTGGGCAAAGTCGTCAATGGCGTCGGCAATCGCCTGGGGATTACCCTTGAGCTGAGATTGGTCGAGCAGGTCGATGTACTGCTTGCATTTGGCCGCTTTCTCCTGGGCGACTTTGTGGAAATCGGGATCTGGCTTGCTCATGACGGAACTGATTGATCGGGATCGTAGGCTCCCGAGGAAGGGGGGTTACTTATATATATGAACCGGGGGACTTAGTCATCAATCCAACACCGATCTCGGACTGACACCACCCTGGAGACAATACCCAACACCTACAAAATGACATTCTTATTGCACTATTGCACTATTGATCCTGTTGTCAGGGAGATCTTAATTGATTACAGCCTACTTGTTACCCCACAGTGGTGCGAACCCACAACTAAAGAGAAAGGAGTGCTCGCTCACCAACTGGCGTTGGCAGCCACTTTATAGCACGGCACCAGGCCCCCTTTGTGGCCCGTACATTTTTTTACGGTTCGACCTCCGAAAATCGGCTTTGGGCCCAGACTCCGTGTCTGTCGCCAACAGCTGTGGCCGCTGCCTTATCTCGCTAGGCGCACCGTAAGCCCCAACTTTTGCGTGAGGCACCAGCAACACACTCGGCCCGCCGCTCAGTGGGGCGATTCTCTCAATTTTGCCACCAACAACATAGACACAACACAAAAAATCAACAAAGCAGTACCAAAAATTTAATTCACATTCTAGTCAATTTGACATTGTTTCGTGTCATGTCTCAATTCTAAATCCTGAAACCGATTTTCTCGCTTGGCGTAGCCACCCTCACCCCCCAGCTCGTTTGTCTTGTGAGAGGGGCAAACCACGAACGCCACGCCACCAGGGATGTCCAACTACTACGCGCCCGACCCGTTTGAAAACGCTTGGGGCGACGCCACCAGCCCCAATCCAGGGGCACTGACGTACGGGTTCAACTCGGGCTTGGCCCAATCGTCAGCGGTGCTCTCGCCGTCCCCGTTCACGTCGCTGGGCGACATGCCCTCCCAGTACCAAGACATCCGCCAGAAGTTCCCCGACGTCGCCACCCTGTCTCAGTTTGACACTGAAATCGTGCAAAAAGTGGTGCAGCAGGGACTGTTGACGCCGGCCCAGGCGGCTAAGGTCACCAGTACCGTCTACGACAACTTGATGCCCCTCGACGATAAAGGGTTTTTACAAGCATTGGGAGTGTTGGCACTTGAATTAGAGAGTGAATCAGGTGACTATGTGACACTCCAATACCGTATGAACAATCTCCCCGAGCTCCCGGAAGCGGTGGCTAATCTTTTCCTTGAAACTATAGCTAATGACGTGGTGGCTCCAGTGGCAAGAAAACCTAAGTCTACCAGTCTCCTCCACTCAATCAAAGGTGACTGCTCAGAGACTACGTGGGACCCGTTGTTAACTGACCGGTCGCTGAAGACTCTCGAAGATCCTACTGAAGATCGTGAGGCGACCCCGACTCCACAAGCACCCCCAGCCAATCTGAGGGAAATCAATACCTACTTGAACGACATCAGAGCTCGATTCAACCCGTTATCACCAAATGAGATCCACATTAAGGAGTTACCTGAGCGGGAAGGGATCGTGTTTAAGCATACTAACTACAACATCACCCACAACCTTCGCCTCGGCACTACGCAGCCGGGACAGAAAAGCGTCGTCAGACGCTATCTGGACTTTGTTTGGCTTCTTGAGTTCCTCTTAAAAAAGTACCCCTTCCGTGTCATTCCCGGCCTCCCCCCGAAAAAGTTTAATGGTAAGTATACTTTTTCCAAACAGTTATCACTCCGATACGTTGTTCCCCAGAATTTATACTAATCGCCAGTAGGCCTGTCGCCCGATTCCCAGTTTCTACAACGCCGGCGCCGCGGGTTATTCCGCTTCTTGAACCAACTAGTGAAGCACCCGGTGCTCAGCAAAGACCCCGTGGTGGTGTCGTTTTTAACCGTCCCCACTGACTTGTCCGTGTGGCGTCGTCAGGCTCATATCGACGACAACATCGAATTTAAAGGACAAAAGATTTCTACCAATTTCATTAACACCATATGGCCCGCCCTCGGCACTGAGTTCATGTCTGCCTGGGCTAAAGCTGACTCCAACATCCCTCGAATCATTGAGGTGTGGACCAAAATCGTCATACTCGCCGAACGTCACGAAAAGCGTCAACAACAGATTGCTCAGGACAATCTGAGGTTTAACGAGATGCTTCTGGCGTTATCCAATCTTGATACGAGTCTTTACCCTGTGGACGGCCCTCAACTGGAACCCCTGGCCATGGGTACCAATAACGCCAACGACACGCCTAACATCAACGAGCTGTTGCGTTACGTTGGCAGCTCATTCACCAAAAGCAGCGACGTCCGCATTGATGAGCTGTTCCAATTCAACTCGGATATTTTGGAACAAATGAAGGGGTATTTGGATTACCTCTACTCGATGCAGGAGCTTTTCGAGCGGAATAAGCGGCTTGCCGCCAACAACATCGACCAGTTGGAGATGCAAATCAAGGAGAAAGAGGCCCGCTACAATAAGCTCAACAATGAGGACGTCGACGCCAAGGGGGCGCTGATCGCCAACTTGCGCCAGCTGATTATTAATGATAAGCAGGAGATGTTCCAGCAACTCAACCGCGATTGGCTTATTAAGCAGTGTTGTCACGAAGAATTGACGATGATGCAGCAGACCCAGTTCCTCATCTCCCAAGTCTGGCTCGACTACGCCCGCACCCGGTTGCGCAGCCAACAAAAATTGTTGGAGATTCAGGACAATCTCGTGCAAGAGATCGGCCTGCTCATGCCGGTGGAACACTCGTCGCTGTAGCCGTGTCATTAGTTGTCATCATGTACGTGTTTCGGAGAATATACGTTTTCGGCGCAACCCCGAACCCCGAAGTTACTAAATAGAGCTTAAACTAAGACAAGGCTAAAGCCAAGCGCCCGCGGACGCACGGTACGGCCCCGGAATAACCCATCACTGTGACGAATCGACGTTGGCATGCATCGGGGAGGCTATATACTGCTCGTCCAGTGCATCGCGGAGGCACAGTGGACGCCTTGCGCGTCGGGGAGCTGTCGGGACCATTTCCGTGACCCCCTCCGGGGTTTGCTACGCCCTCGACCAGGGGTGGTGGTTTTCAGTATTGCGAGCCAGTAATCGCAACCGGAAGCACTGGGGCGATGGCCTGATGGTGCCAGACACCGAATGGCGCCATCGGCGAGCTGTAGGTCCAGATACACGTACAGCCGCCACAGTTTTTGAAGTCGTCATCGTCACATCCAAACCCCGTAAATATCTGCACGGGCAGCAACTAAGCATATTTTTTCTGCAAGGGCGCATGAACTCATCATCGCCCCAGGAATGCACTTGCCTCCAAGAGCTTCCCGAGCCCACGAGCATAGCCGTGAGGGTATAAGATGATCGGTGCCGTCGCTTGCTGTCAACATTATTCGCATCAATTTTTAACACACCATGGTGACCGTTTCCGAGTTCAATTGGCGTGATATTGGTGTCACCATTGGTGACGCTCAACTCCTTACTCAAGTGCTGGGATCCCTCCGGACGGGGGAAATCATTGCCCTTATGGGTCCGTCGGGTTCGGGTAAGACCACCCTTTTGAACGTGCTTGCTCAGAGAGGCGTCCCTCCCAAAGCTAAGTTAAGCGGCCGTGTTTACACTGACAACTTTGACGTCACCTCCACCAACATCAAGAAGTTCTCCTCCTATGTCGAGCAAGAAGACTCGCTTATCGGGTCGTTGACGGTGAAGGAAACCGTCGACTTCAGTGCCAAGATGCTGGACGTCGCCCACAACAATAAGGAACTGAGACAACAGAGAAACGACCGCGTTAACGAAATCCTTCTGATGTTGGGGTTGACCAACCAAGCTAACACCAGAGTGGGTACCCCGTTACAAAAGGGTATTTCCGGTGGTCAGAAGCGGAGATTGCTGGTGGCGTCGCAAATGATCACCCACCCTCTGGTGCTCTTCTTGGATGAACCCACTTCGGGGTTGGACTCCACCGCCGCCCACTCGGTGATCCAAACGATTAAAAACGCTGCTAAGCAATTTAACATGATGGTGATTGTGTCGATTCACCAGCCTCTGACCGCTACCTTCAACTTGTTTGACAAAGTGTTGTTTATGAGCCGTGGCAGCACTATTTACAACGGCCCCGTGTCTCAGCTTGTCCCCTACTTTGACGAAATTGGCTGCCCCATCCCCGACCACTACAACCCCCTGGAGTTCATTCTTGACCTCATCAACACTGACTTTTCCGATGCTTCTTCTGATGTCGATTCAATTGCTTGTGCTGAGAAAGTGGAAGACTTGAAGGCCGCCTGGAGACGCAAGGACCAATTATTGGAAAAGCAGGTTACTGAACAGTCGCGGACGTCGTCGGAAGAAAGCTACCCCGTGGGGCTTGACGATACCCCTTGCTCCAGAAGCATCCTCCAGTGCATCAAGTTCCACCTCGTCCAGACGTGGTACCTTATCCAACGTCTTTGGATCAAATCGAGACGGGATATCCTTGCCTATTATGTGAGAATCGTCATGTACTTGGGTTTAGCCATCCTTATGGGTACGGTGTGGGTTCGTTTAGGTCATGACCAGAAGTACATCCAGCCGTTTATCAACGCCATCTTCTACCTGGGGGCGTTCATGTCGTTCATGTCGGTGGCCTACATCCCCGCCTACCTTGAGGACTACCAGTCGTACAAGAAGGAGCACTTGAACGGGTTGTACTCCCCCTTTGCATTTGTGGTGTCCAACTTCGTCATTGGGCTCCCCTTCATCTTTATCATCTCGGTGTTGTTCTCCATCGTCACCTACTTCCTCTGTAACTTCAGACTCAGTGCCAGCGGGTTCTTCTACTACGTGATGTGGTTGTTCCTCGACCTTATCGCCGCCGAGCTGATGACGGTGTTGGTGCTGACGGTGTTCCCCGTCTTCGTCGTGGCGTTGGCGTTGACCGCCTTTGCCAACGGGTTGTGGATGGCCTGTGGCGGCTTCTTGATGCCTGAAAACGTGTTGAACGTGTTTTACTCCAAGTGGTTGATGTACATTAACTACCAGAAATATGTGTTCCAAGGGATGATGTTCAACCAATTCCCGGCACTGAACGTATTCAACTGTGACGCTAACTGCCACTGCATGTACACCTCGCCCCTTCAGGATCAGTGTAAGATTCTGGGTGACGCTGTGTTGCAAGCTGTCGGCTACTATAAGGAACAGAAGGGCCAATGGGCGGGTATTTTGATTGCCATCATCTTTGTCTACCGGTTCTTGACCTTCCTTGTCCTCTACTTCAGAAAGAAGTAATTAATCTGTTTGTAATGAGAAATACCACGTACTAATTCATTTGTTCGTATTATCTATTAAATTCTCCGTCAATCAATGACTAAATGCTTGCGAGGTGTTGTTTTTATACAGGCTTAGTGAACACCCCTTGGAGCCAGTTACGGTACATCTTCAACTGTTTCTTGCGGTTGACAAGTAAACGTCTATCAGTGGCAATCTTATTCTCTTCAAATCCACCATCCTTACAGAAGATCTCCCTGAGCTCTTCCTCAGTGAAAAAGTAGACACGAGTACCGTCACCCCGGATGTAGAAGTTGTCTTCCAACAACCGACCCTTCTTGAAGCGGACCTGGGCCAAATCGTAACGACCATAGTCCCGGAACAAAATCTTGCCGCCAGGCTTCAACACCTTATTGAGATTAAGCATCGCCTGATGCCATTGGTCAGGGTGCAACGCAGAGAACACAAAGATCATAATGACATAGTCGGCCTGGTTTTCTTCCATATCTTCAGGGATGTTGCCTTCAGGGTTAGCCAAATCCCACACCGAAGAGTAAGCGATCCCCTTCTCGTTAAGAGGCTCAAACTGTGGTTGCTTTTTAACCACATCCACCGCCACTTTAGAGTAATCACAAGCATAGATTTTGAGGTTAGGGTTGGCGTTCTCAGCAAGAATCGGATAAAAAGTGTTGCCAGCGCCGCACCCAACTTCCAAAATGGTCACCTTTTCGGTTCTACCCTCGCTGGTGATTTCAAACAACTCAGGGAATTCAATCTTGAGCCATTTCCGGTCCTTGAAAAAGTTTTCCTGGTTGTTTTTGTAGAAGATATCCCAGAACTTAGCTGGGGTCAGGTTAAACCGTTTCTTGTCGAAATCAGACACTGGGTGGTCGTATTGCTTTTCGATAAGCTGTTGACACTCAGCGATCTGCTCTTCGCCCCATTCAACGTGGTCCCAAGCGTTGTGCTCGAAGACTTTTTCCTCATCGGTGAGGTACCGTTGCCCAAACACAAACGGGTCGTCCTTGCCAATACGCAGGTCGATCACCCCATTGATCCGCTCGTCCAAGGAAGGTTTGAGCACCTTGGCCTCGGTGGTGGCCTCATGATCATTATCACTGGTCATCGCAGAGCAGAGATGCGAAACCGATGCACGTCGCGTCTAATCCACGATGCCCACGCGTTTCTTTTTTCCCCGAGTGACTGACATGGTGGTGGGGTGCGGCGGGCGTAGATCGTCATATTTTAGGGTGGAGATTGTGTTTTTATTTTTATCCTCATTTCACGATTTGAAACGACTGGGCGCACCATTGACCTCCTGCCATCTCTTATTAGCATTACCTCCTTACTTCCCTTTTTAGCATCACTGTCCTGTCGTATCCCCACACATCACCTAGCGACAGCTCCCCTTTACACCCATTGCTGCCCCCCATCTACAATTTCATGACCTTAGAAAGCTGTCACTGAAAGCCAGCGTTGAAACAAACATTCGCCTATAAATCCCACCTACATTTTTCCGTCGCATATCCATTACAACCCTACACGCGCCCGTGTCGATTGCTGGTTGTTTTTGTCGCTTGCGCGTTTGCTAAAAAAACATCGATCAGCTATCTCTCGGCGGTGAGTGCCCTTTGTCGACAATGAGCAGTAAGAAGCGGCACTTCCCGCTAGCCAACGTGCCTCGGCTTCCGCTTAAGGAGACGAGTGGAAACATTCCCTCGCCTCAGCTCAAACGGGCCAGAGTCCACCCCGAAGCCGCCGGCGACAACACAGGAGACCTGGGCGCCGCTAAACCCGCCAAGGCGGCCCCGTCTCGAGGAGGACGATTACTGGGCGACGAATTGGTCCAGTGGCAGCAGTCATGGCGGAAGATCATGCGGGAACTGACGGTGTATTTCGAAGGAGCTACCAAAGACTCCAACCCGGGCCAGGTGTCCGAGTTCCGGCTTGCCGCAAAGCATTTGAAACAGATCGGCTGCCAAATACTGGCATTCTATGATTCAAGCGTCACCATCATCATCAGTCGCCGCAAGTATGAGGAACATCGTTGTTATCCTCCTACCGACATCTTTAGTCATGTGAGCTCGAAAAAGATTAAGGTCTGGGATTACGACAAAGTGTTCCGCTTTCTCAAAAATCTCGGCGTTAACACCGATGATCTGCTGGCGGCGACTGGTGATCAAATTGACAACGATAATAATTTATACACCCTTTTGAAAGAAGAAAAGATTTACGGGGCTACTGAGCGTGATCCCAACGCTAAGCGGGATGATCTTCATTACTTGGAGAAAAACTATTTATTCGTTTATGACCTCAACCAAAAGACTCGTCCTATTGCCGTACGCGAATGGAGCGACGACCAATACCCCCGTCTTCATCATACTCTTGATGGTAAATGTCCCTTTATTGCCGACAAAACCGAGCTTTCTGAAAAGAGAAAGCAGAGACGTCAGCAAAAGTTTGAAATGACCCGCGACTTCAGAGAAGTGCTTAAAGCAGCGTCTCAACGGGTAATCAATGGGGAACAAGTGAGCTCAGATGGTAACGGCGACGATGAGTGTACGCTAATTGAGCCACTGCTGGGTAAAGTTAGTGGGGATGATAATGAAGATCAAATAAGTATGGTGCCGCCTCTCCCTCGGGAGCTGTCATGTGTCGTTGGCAGATCCCCGCTTGATGTGGCTGCTCTGGGTTATAACGGTGCGCTGAATGCGGTTCTGATTGATCTGACAAGCCATTCGGCCAATGGCGGTAACGGATTGGGCCCCATAGTGTCGCAAGTTACTTCTCGCAACTTGAATAACTTGAAGCGACGCATTATCAAGAAAAAACAACAACAGCAACAACAACAGCAACAACTGGGGCGTGACTCCCGCAAAAGAGACGGTGAGTATAATCCTGGGTACTGCGAAAACTGTCGCATCAAGTATGACCACTTTGACGACCACATCCGGCTGTCGCGTCATCGGCGATTTGCTGCCGACGACCGCAACTTTGAGGATATCGACGCGTTGATCGCCACTTTGCGTGAGCTGTCTGCCATCGGTGGCTCGGCTCCGTCTCTCGCATGTTAGCATTATTTGCATATTAATGATTATGAACAAACTTAATTATTAGATTCTGGTGTACAAAAAGTATCAGCACAGACTAACCACCAAGTGAAACAAATCCAAGTGCTTCAATATCGGCGATACGTACTTTTCTGTTAGCTTTCAAGGCCCAAGGGTTTAGCAGTACTTCATCGCATTTACCTGCGCGACACTACGCGAACGGCTTTCGTAAAATAGATTCACAGTAAGTCTACTCAACAATAGCCACAAATTTGCAGTATGAGATTTAACAGTACCAGTGACAAAACCAATGGTCAGGGATGCTATAACGAAAGTCATTTGGAGCTGGTCCTGAAATTACTTAAAGATCAACAGGAATTTATGGAAAGACAACAAAAAAGCCAACAAGAATTTATGGAACGACAGCAGAAGTATCAACAGGAATTCGTGGAGAGGCAATTGGCTGAGCAACAGAAGATCATGCAAAAGATGATAGATGATCGACAGGACTTAATGGAGCAACGATTAAAGAAGCTAGAGACCGAAACGGAGCAAAGATTGAAAGAGTTGGAGACTGCAATGGAGCAGAGATTGAAAGAGGCAAAAACTACAATGGAACTGAGTCGGAATGAACAACAGATTGACATGGAGAACAAATTGAGAGAGCTACAAAATGCCATAGAGGAGATGATGAAGGATGAACATGATGGTATGGTAAAGAGATTGAATGTTCAAAAGGAAGTCATGCTAAAAGGTTTCAACAATGAACAGGTCGCCTTGTCTAAGAGAACGCAACAACTCGAAGCTACTGTGAGCATAATTGATGGGAAACAGTTAGGAAATGCCATCGATAAAAAAGATGTCGCAGAGGTCGTTCTCGGGTTAATTAAGCATGTTACAGAGCATCAGAAGCAGCTCAAGACTATGTCTAAATCTTTGGATGAGGCGATCAGTGCCAATAAAGTTATGCGTAACAAATTAAGGAGGGAGACTACTTCCTTGAGACAACTGCGATCGACGTAGATTATCCATTTCTTTCGGGTCCTTGGGGTTCAACTCAACACAATTCATGTTCTTTACACCTCCCTTCGCTCAGCAATTGTCCCAAGCGTATTGCTATACAGAATTGATGAGGTCTATGATTAATTAAATAAAACGGTACACTCTGAGTATTCTCCCCCTTTCTAGAGCCTACGACAGTTTGGAGTCTCAAAAACTGCAACGAAAATGTGACCGACATTATCAAGCTTTTTCAGTGTTGCACAAGTTACTTTCTAATCCAAGTACGCAACTATAATGCTCAATAGTCCTATATGGGAACCAAACGGTAGATGAGTTATGCAGATGAAGCTACAGTGAACGTACAACGAATGCTTCCACAAATTACACTGTCATTGACCACTAATGTGATCGATTCCATGAGTCATTACCTGTCCACCAGCCGCTATTTTTCAGTCGTTATCAATGCTAGCCGCTACCACACCATCCATAATTTCACGCACTCATCACGAAAAACTTCACCAACATGAAGGTTACCCTCGCGGCCAAGGCCCAACAGGTGGCGTACCCGGCGTTCCTCTTGGCGAACTACGTCAACAGCACCAAGGACATCGATGGCAACGTCGAGGTCGACATTGTCGACGATAAGGAAGTCGGCGAGGCCAAGGAACTGGTGCAATTGGAAGACGGCACCACCGTGATCGCCGGCCAAAAGAACGTCATCACCTACTTGGCGGAAAAGTTTCAAATCCCCAAGGGCGCGTGGCAATGGTCGGAATTCGCCTTGGAAAAGTTGTACAACAAGAACTTTGGTGTGTTGAAGGACGACCTTGAGAAGCTCAACGCTCACCTCAACTTGCGCTCGTACATCGACAACTACGCGTTGACGGTGTCGGACATTGTCGTGTGGGGGGCCATCAGAGCCAACCCGCTCAAGATGAACTACGACATGTTCATCAACGTCGGCAGATGGTTCGACTACTTGGGTCTGGACCACCGGTTCCAAGCCGCTATTGACCACTACGTCAAGCTTTTGAAGGACTTGAGAGCGGCGGAAAAGGTGGCCAAGGCTGGTGGTAAGAAGGAAACCCACAAGGCCAACTTCGACATCGACTTGCCCGGTGCCGAAGTGGGTAAGGTCGTCACCCGGTTCCCCCCTGAACCCTCTGGGTACTTGCACATCGGACACGCCAAAGCTGCTGTGCTCAACGAATACTTTGCCCACCAATACAAGGGTAAGCTCATCATCAGATTCGACGACACCAACCCTCTGAAGGAGCGTATGGAATTCCAGGACTCTATCATCGAAGATTTGGCGTTGTTGGGCGTCAAGGGTGACGTGGTGCTGTACTCGCTGGACTACTTCGACAAGATGTACGACCTTGCGCTTAAGATGATCAAGGAAGGCCACGCCTACTGTGACGACACTCCTGTCGACAAGATGAGAGAGGAACGTATGGACGGTATTGCTCTGGCTCGCCGCGACCGTCTGGTGGAAGAAAACTTGAAGATCTTCACCGAAGAAATGAAGCAAGGTACCGAAGAAGGGCAAAAACACTGCTTGCGGGCTAAGCTCGACTACGCCAACCCCAACAAGGCGTTGAGAGACCCCGTCATCTACAGATGCAACTTGACTCCCCACCACCGTACCGGCACCACCTGGAAGATGTACCCCACCTACGACTTCTGTGCCCCCGTGGTCGACTCGCTTGAAGGCGTCACCCACGCCCTCAGAACCAACGAATACCGTGACCGGAACCCCCAATACGAGTGGATGATCAAGACCCTCGGCTTGCGCCCCGTCACCATCTGGGATTTCGCCCGGGTCAACTTCGTCCGCACCTTGTTGCTGAAGAGAAAGTTGCAATGGTTCGTCGACAAGCAGTTTGTGCTGAACTGGGACGACCCTCGTTTCCCCACCGTGAGAGGTGTCAGAAGACGCGGGATGACCGTCGAAGGGTTGCGCAACTTCATCATTGCTCAAGGTCCCCTGAGAAACGTCATCAACTTGGAATGGTCGCTGATCTGGGCGTTGAACAAGAAGATCATCGACCCCATCTGCCCCAGATTCACCGCCATTGACGCTAAGGACGCCGTGGTTGTGAACCTTGACGGCCCCGCTGAAGCCAAGACCGAACAACGGCCCAAGCACAAGAAGAACCCCGACGTCGGCACCAAGCCCGTGATCTTCGCCAACAAGATCTTGTTGTCGCAAGAAGACGCTGCTCTGTTGGGTGACAACGAAGAAGTGACGTTGATGGACTGGGGTAACGCTATTGTCACCGCCATCCACAAGGATGCTTCCGGTAAGGTGACCTCGGTCGACGCCAAGTTGAACTTGGACGGTGACTTCCGTAAGACGCTGAAGAAATTGACCTGGATTGCCGACACCCCCGACAAGATCAAGGTGCAACTCGTCGACTTTGACCACTTGATCACCAAGGACAAGTTGGAAGAAGGCGACAACTTTGAGGACTTCATCACCCCTCAATCGGAGTTCAAGACCGACGCCATCGCCGACTTGAACGTGAGAGACTTGAAGGAAGGTGACATCATCCAGTTCGAAAGAAAGGGCTACTACCGTCTCGATAAGCAAGGCGATGTCCCCGTGTTGTTCTCCATCCCCGATGGTAAGAACGCCGGCAAGAAGTAAGTATATAGATTAACCACAAAGCTGTGATATAAGGGATATAAGTGTAGGATGAACTACTGATCTTCTGTTTGTTGTCGTGGTGAGTGAATGAGTCATGTCATTGATGACTTGAGTCAACCAGTTAGTCTCAATGACTATGATTGATTTGTAATGGGTGAGATTTCATTGGACCACCACCAACATCGCCTACATCGCAATCATCTAGGTTTGGGTAGCATTGCGCAACTATGTACAGTTAATTAAAGTCTTTGGCCTGCAAGTTTCTCGTCATTGCCGGCAACGCCACGCGGATGCCGTCCAACTCCTTCGTCATCTGCACCTGGCACCCCAAACGCAGGGTTTCCGTCAACCCGAACGCCAAGTCCAACATGTCGTTTTCGTCGTCGCTCGGTTCGGGGATCTCGTCGTAGAACTCGGGATCAACGATGACATGGCAGGTGGAGCAGGCGCACAGACCGCCACAGGCGCCTTCCATGTCGAGCCCGTGCGCCTGGGCGATGTCCAAAATGTTGTCGCCTTCGGCCACTTCGTAAGTAAACTGGTCGCCTTCCTTAGTGATGAAGGTGATGTGCAATTCTTCACCCGGGTTAGGCTTGTGTATGTGGCCGTGGTTGCGGATGGTGGAGTGGGAGAACCAGCGGGGCTGGGGCCGCACCCACGACACGGGGGAGGGACGAGCAAACAGCCGCAACGCCGCTCGAGTAACAGCCAGCGACCTCAACGAAGCGAGCATTTTAGTGGGGGAGGGAGATAGTCTTCGTCGCTAGTGGTGCTCACTGGAAAATTATAATGGGCAGCGGTGGGGCGCGGGAAAGGACCAGGGCTGCGCAACCAGACAGCCAATTTCGATGATTAAAAGGCGATAGCGGAGGTGACGACGCGGAGGACACAGGCCGGCATTTGCCGAAACGGGCGGCTCCTCCGACGGGCCCAGAGCGGACCCCTCCCCTTTAATTTTCAATTACGTCAATTACCTGTCGATTTACACGGCCAATTTACACACTTTGTCGTTACCAGAACTTACTCGCCAACACCAAGAAAATCAATAAGATCAACACCGCGATGATCGCATAACTGATAAATTTGTTCGCCACGAGGCGGCGGCCCATGCTTTTCAATGTGCTCACCAGCCGGTCGACGTACAGCTCCGCCTGCGACAACGTGTTGCGGGCCCCCAGAATCTGGTCACGCTGGTAGGTTAAGTCATTGAGGATGCCCAGGCCGATGCGCTCGGTCTCAAGGGCAATTCGCTGCGAGTCCTGTAATCTCTGGCTCAGCCGTTCGAGACTCAGGTTATTCTGTAAAAGCTGGCGTCTCTGGTCGTCGGTAGCGTCGTCCTCCAGGTCGCGGTAGCGCGAGCCAAAGAGCTCATGGCGGTCCTGGGTGCTCACCTCGTGGTCCAATTTCAGCTTAGTGTCCTCGACGTCCTTGCGGTACTGACGGAGTTTAGTGTTATACGTCAGCCGCTGCAGCGTCGGCAAGTTCTGGATCTCGATCCCCATCTGGTCTAGCACTTCGTGGGCCTCGTCACACGCCAGCTCGATGCCTTTGAGCAACGTTTTGCGGGCCTGGGCGTCGGCATTGGCAAGCTGGGAAAGCTTGGTCTTGGCCTCGGTGATTGCAAGCTCAAAGTCCAGCTCGTAGGTGGCAAACAGGTCCATGGGGGGCGGGGGTTATGTGGTCAAAGTGGGTGACCTGTACCGTAGCTTGTGCGGCTGCGCCCTCGTCGATAGCAATCGCGGCACACTGTTGCCACGCCACTTCCGGCGCGCCTTTAATACGAATTACATTGTACTTCCGACACTACTTCCGACGACATCGCCATCCCACTCGCGCCAGATCTCTATCACTTCTACTATTTGAGTTGAAACGGTAACAATGTCAGATAAAACACGGTCTCAGCTCATTGCGCTGACGGTGGGACTGGTGAAACGGTACACCCTCATCAACCCCGTCGATGCCACCACCAAACGGTTTGGTTTCCGGTGTCCCGTGTGTGATCTCACCTACCAAGATAATCTCAAGTTACTCGACCATTTCAACAGCTACCAGCATAAAGCCAAAGCTGGCATTACCACTGCTGCTTCCACTGAAGGGGAAGTCGAGCCAGGGGTACCACGAGCATCGTTTGCCACTGTGGTGGAGACGATGGAGCAATTGATCGCCGAACGGGTCAATTCTCGTGACCCTAAATACGAGGAACGAGAACGCCAACGGCGTCAAGTGATTAACGAGCAAAGAAAGCAACGGCGGAAGTTAAAGCGAACGCACGGAGACACGGAAGCGAGCGCCGAAGTGGAAGCGGCGCTTGGGTTTGGCTCGTTCGGTAAACGCCGAAAATGAACTCATTTCTAAGCCAGCCACTACACACTATAAACAGACACACGGGTAATCTAAAGCTTATCGCTGACTCATGGTTGAGTAAAAATTTACCCATTCGCTGGTTAATGTCCACATCATGATCAAATGATTGATTAATCGATGAGTTATTGGTGGTGACAATACGATAGAAGCTCAACGAAAATGATAGAACACCACCCCTCGCTCTCAATAGAGCCATAGGCGGCGACGGAAATTCCGATGACCGCGGAGGTCAAGGTTACCTGCAGTACCATCTGTCACGATGTTCGTTGCGCATGGGTAATCCCTTACTCACATGCAGGACGTAATTATGTAAATTTTACAACTGATGGGGCCACCATAACTATATAAGCCGAGCTCGTCAACGCTTTGGCGATGGTAAGTGCTACATCGAGAAGAATGGTGCAAAGAGGAATTTCTAAAGTTGTTGAAGGGATTGAACAATCCGAAGGGGCGGGTGCCCGTGTCCGTCGCTCTATTGGTAACATGAGCGTCCGCAACTTCAACCCCTTCCTTATGTTCGACCACTTTAAGCTGAACGGTCCCAATGGCTTCCCCGAACACCCCCACAGTGGTCAGGAAACGATCACCTACTGCTTGAAGGGGCTGATTGCTCACGAAGACTTGATGGGCAACAAGGGGATGCTCTACCCTGGTGACCTTCAATTTATGACTGCTGGTAAGGGTATCGTCCACCTGGAGATGCCTGTCGAACCCAAGGACGGCCTGGGGGCCCAATTGCTCCAGTTGTGGGTTGACTTGCCGGCCAAGCTCAAGGAGTGCGAGCCCCGCTACCGGGACTTGCGTGAGTGGGAGATCCCCGTGGCGCACTCTGAAGACGGTTTGACCGAAGTTAAAGTGATCTCGGGTAAGCTGTTTGGCGTCGAATCGGTCAAGGACTTGGCCTACACTCCCGTCGAGTTCTTACACTTTATTTTGAAGAAGGGGGCGTCGTTCAAGCAAGAGCTTAACCCCGACTTCTCCTACTTCTTGTACAACATCAAGGGTAACGGGCTTACTCTCAACGGCAGCAAGAAGATCAAGCAATACGAAAACGTGTTCTTCGCCAACGACGGCGGTGACTACATCACCGGGGAAGCCACTGGCGACGATGAATTTATCCTTGTTGGTGGTCAACGCTTGGACCAACCTGTGGTGCAACACGGGCCTTTCGTGCAAACGCTGAGAGACAAGATCATCAAGAAGTTCACTGACTACCAGTACGCTCGTGGTGGCTTTGAAAAGGTCAGAGACTGGCAAACGCTCATTTCCGGCGGTGTCACTGAAGACATGATCAACGGTCCTCTTGGTGGTAACCTCGAGGAACGTGAGAAGGCTAAGCAAGCCTACTTGAAGAGCCACGCCTAATTGTATTTAGTATATAGCGGAGTTATTGTTATGATATTATGATATGAAAAACTTTTGTAGATCACGCGTATCCATGGATACTACCAGTCCAGTCCATTCACATCGTAGGCTGTTGCTATGCCTATCTCATGTAGGGTTTGTCTTATCGGATCGCCGGTGCATCGGCTGTATTCCTAGTCTAAATAGTCAAAACGCTAAGTTTAATTGGCGAAGCAATCACGCCACCTTGTGTAATTGTGCCTTATTAATTTGCTCAAAAATGTTTTACGTGAGATTGTTTACACGTTGGTCCGACTCCAGGTTGCAAAATGATAGGAGCGACCCGTCGGGAGTGTCATTTCCGTTAGCCGTCAACTGCTCACCGCTCAGCCACGACTAACAGCCGCGACACATCGGCCAGAGAAAATTCCGCACATCGAGACCCGGGGAACAATTTTTTTTAGACTATTATCATCGGCGCGCGTGTTCCCATCCGTCGCCTGGCATTAGAGTCTAGACCGTGGTCCATCAATACTGCCATGCTCAATATCTCAGGGATGAAAGTAAATTATCGCTATTAAATACTCCAGTCACGCCATTGGTGGTCATTATTCGTTACTGAATCATCTGTGACGCCTTTTGTTCGCCTCGGGTCGCCCCCATTCCCGGTTTTTACCCCACTTGGCCCCAGGCGTCATTTTAGGTGTGAGCGGCAGCAACGGCTCTTCTTAGACATCGCGACTCGGAGGAGGCCCCACCCGCCACCTATGCCCCGAGATATCCTCAACATGCTCGGCTCGAAGACCACCACCACCTCCAGTAAGGTCACCAAGCCCGTCCACAAGCGCCACGACGTCGCCAAGCCGCTAAATCTCGGGGGAGTCCAGTCGCTGTTTAATAAGCGATGGACGATTGGCCGAGGAGTTCCCATAATCTGCAACCAGCCCGACCCCAAACAGTGCCTAGCCGCCGTCGCCGACGCCACCAGCAAGCAGATCAAGATCGCCCTGTTCGATTTGGACTACACGTTGGTGAAAACGTTGACGGGGGCCCGTTTCCCTTGTGACAAAGAGGACTGGCGCTGGTGGAACCTGGGGGTGGCCAAACGGCTCAATGAGATAGCCAAGGAGTATCTCGTCGTCATATTCACCAATCAAGGCGCCGTGGTGGCGAGAAAAGACGCCAAACTGTATACCAAGTTCACCCAACGCGTTAACGGGGTGGTGGCTGCCACTAAGCTCACCGAACAAGTGGTGGTGTATGCTGCCCCGAAAAACTCCGATAAGCTGACTCGTAAACCCGAGATTGGCATGTGGACCGCCCTCGAACAATTTGTCGCCGAGAACGGCTACTCCATCGATAAGCTGAGGCTGTATTTTGTTGGCGACGCTGCCGGCAGGCAAGGCGACCATTCTGATTCGGATAAAGTGTTTGCCGAGAACGTGGGGATTGCGTTCCGGACCCCGGAAGAGGAGTTTACCGCCCAGGACCCTTAACACCATTGACTCTCGATACATCGGGCCCGCCACTGGCTGGTGGGCCATGATTTAATATCATGCCCCTTTCAGAGACGATTGAGCTCTAACAAAGCACTGCAAAATGTGCTTGTAACTGTCTATACCCTAATTAACATATCGCACGTCACTAGTAAAGAGCTATCTGTCAACTCTGTTTGAATTTTATCAAGCAATTTCTTCTTTGTTCCACTGATAATTGTAGTTGACATTCTTCGATATTTCTTCATCGATAAATTCAATATAGCTATCATCTCATCACTGATTCGACTCCCGACGCTACCTTTTCAACATCAGCCGCGAGCCGCCCTCCAAAAATTGCCACCATCCGAGCGCGACACTCACTTCCACCACAATGTCAGACCCATTCTCCATCAACGGGGGCGCTGCCGTCGCCATGGTCGGCAAAGACTGCATTGCCATTGCTTCGGACTTGCGGTTGGGCAATCAATCGCTCGGGTTGGCCAACGACTTCGAGAAGATCTTCCTGTACGGCGACAAGTGCTACATGGCATTGACGGGGCTTGCCACCGACGTGTTGACGTTGAAGGATACATTCACCTTGAAAACTAACTTGTACAAGTTGCGGGAAGAGCGGAATATTGAGCCCAAGACGTTGGCAAACTTGGTGTCGTCGACCCTTTACGAAAGACGTTTTGGCCCCTACTTTGTCGGCCCCATTGTCGCCGGGTTGGACAGCAAAACCAACAAGCCTTTCATCTGTGGCTTTGACTCCATTGGGTGTATCGATTTTGCCAAGGACTTCATCGTGTCTGGTACTGCTAGCGACCAATTGTACGGTATGTGCGAGTCGCTTTACCAACCGGACTTGGAGCCCGAGGACTTGTTTGAGACGATCTCGCAGGCCCTTTTGAACGCCGTTGATCGTGACGCGTTGTCGGGGTGGGGGGCTGTCGTCTACATCGTCACCAAAGACCAGGTGATCAAGCGTAAGTTAAAAACCCGACAGGATTAGGTGGGGAGTTCCCCTAGTTACGAAATTAATGATAGCGTATCCTTTCTATATACATGATATTAGACTTTTTTTCACCGAACAGCCAGTGTCTTTCACTTCGAAGCCTGCTGCTTTTGCATTTCGAGCTCAACCACCTTCTTGAGGTAACCGTTCTTGCCGTACAACTCTTCCTCCGCCTGTTTCCGCTTCTTCTCGATTTCCTTTTGCTTCTTTCTCGACTCACGGATACGTTCCTTGGAGTCTTCCACCCGGGTGTAGTGGAGACATCTGGCGAGTTGGTCCTTTTCGTAGTTGCACTTCCCAAGGGCTTGCTTGAGGAACTCGGTACGGTGACACTCTTCAAGAGCGTCCATGAGGGCTTCACAGGTGTCAAACCGCCGCTTATCCAACTGGGGGTGCATGTTGAAGGGTAAAGGTAGTGGTGGATGAAGACTGCTAATCAAACGCCGCACCTGATCATACTCGCAGGAAATGAGGCGAAAAGTAAAAAGAAAAGCCCGAGATTCGCAGTTCGATTCTTCGAAATGTAATTAATTAATGGAGCCGATACCATACAATTCATCAAATAAGCCGAGTGAAACAACCCCCAACTCGATATGGTTCAACCCATGATTACTTTCGGTGTTGTCCGATAACTTTACCCGTCGCAATATGACGCGTTCGAGATGGCGCTGGCTACGAACGCGTCTGCCCAGAATCGACAGCAACATTTGCCCGTTGCTGCGCAACCTAGTCTATTAACAATCATCGTCTGAGTTTTGAAGCCATTATGGATATATGAATCAATGTGAACCATGGACTCGCTTCATACGCGTTATTGCTAGCCTTGGATATTATCGCCTCATACCTTATTGTTACTCGCAGCGGGCCTGAAACCCATCGCGTCGCACGCGTTTCTTTTACATCACCACCTCAGGATCAGCACTGCTATCCAGTGGTACTTCTGTCCACCAACACCTTAAACCTTCTCTAAATGTAATATCGAGATTTTATTATGGGTTTAACCCACTTTAATCGAACAATTAGACCTATTCTTAGCCCACGGTGCCGTTCAATTACACGAATGTGGGAGGTGTCGGGCACGACTTTTCCCTCAGGTGAGTGCAGCCCAACGCGCACTCGGCGGAATTTGAGGAGAACTGGATACACATCGTCAACGACACCCGTGCAAACATGGTGTCTCCCCGGGTCTTCTCTCCGAGCGAGATGGACCGAGATACACCCGACACGTCCGACCACCTGCCGGACGAACACGACGGCGTCGTTAAGTCGACGACAGTCAACTATCTCGCCCCAACATCATCCCACGATATTCCCGAGTACCTACAATTGGATGTGGTCGGCGATTTCGTTAATGGCGATATCACCGACGGAGGTAATCGGTTGCCGTCAGTGCCTGCGGCCGAGGCCGAGTTCAATGGACAAGCGGACTTCAACGTGGACGCGTTGATAACTACGCTAGATGATGGCGCTTATCATCAAGCTGATGCCAATGTGCATTACGAATTACCTTCGCTGATGATGCCGGCGCCGGCTAAGCCGATGGCTGACCAAAGAGCACCCTGCGAACCCACTACCCAACCGATCATTGTCGACCAATCATTTGTTGAACCTCTCGCAAAGGATCCGTTTGTCATTAGCAACGAAGCAAATGTTGGAGTTCTGGAGACTTCGTTTGAGTTAGCCACCGAAACGCTCCCCAATGGCAGTGCACAGCGTGATTCAACTGACCAGCCTAAAAGAAAGCGAGGCCGTCCCAGAGTTCACCAGGAAGTCAACACGACAGTTGAGAGCAACGTCAATGAGGATACCATCAAGAAGGAGTTGTCCTCAATACCACTTCCCCCACCACCACCAAGATCCCCCGCAGGACCGACAACAACGCCAGGACCTAAACCGGGACCCAAGCCGGGACCAAAGCCGGGGCGGAAACCGGGACCATTAGCAAAGACGGGAACGACAGCAAAGACAGGAACGACAATGAAGACGGGGGCAGTGACAAAGCCTGGGATCAGAAAAAAGCCTGGCCCCAAACCGAAGTCAACACCTAAGGTGTCACCTACAGCCAGAGTCTCATCACCACCGAGATCAAGGTCGTCGACGCCAGAGCCCAGTGCCACCGCGTATGCGCCTTCAACGCCATTGTCACTGTTGCAAAAAGAACTCCATGGTACGCTCCAACCGCTTGTGCTGTCGACGCCAGACGCTAGCCTTTCAGAGGCTGATATCGCAAACGAGTTGGAAGACCGCTATTTGGACGTCAAGGATTTGGTTAACAACGATCTTACCCATAATGCCATCGTGGCCACATTTGAGGACTTGCCGGTGCCATCGGTAATCAAACACATTCAACAAAAATTTGGCAATGTCAAGTTCAGCCATGGTGAGAAGGAAGTGTTGAAGCAATTCATCAAACGTGACGGGCTTGACGCTGACATGAATTCTGAAGTCATCGCGTACCTCCCCTTCCGGACAGAGCAGGCCATCCAGGACAAGTACCGTGAGCTCCAATTCAACGCAGGGCGGCCCAAGCTGTTCAAAAATCGCACCGAAGCGCTTGTGTACGAGGCAAAGTGGATGGTGTTGAGCTCGCCCGACAGTGGTGGTCACGGGTCGCGCGCGTCGCGTCGAGCTAAACGCGTAGCCGAGTTAGATGCTATGCAGCGGGAGGCGGCGGCGATAAAAAAACCGTCTAAGCCCCAATTGCTGCCGGAGGAGGAAGCGGAGGCCGAGCGCCAGCGCCAGGAGCGTAAGGCAGCTCGCGAAGCGCGCGAGGCCAAGCTCGCCGCTGAGAAGGAAGCAGCGCGACTCAAGCGTGAGCAGGCGAGGCTCCAGACACCCAAAAAACCCGCTGCTCCGAAACGGCACATGGAACTCAAGTATCTTTTGGCAGGCAATGATCATTTCGCCAGTATTATTGGTGACGGGAAAGCGGTTACTGAGGGCCAAAAACGGAAGCGGGCTGCCACTAAGATGTGGGTGCCTGAGTTCCCCAACAAGGTGGCCAAGGGACCGCAAATGCGTCGTCAACGACGCCAGGAAGCTGCTGCCGCCGAACACGACTTTGATGGCAGTGTCAACGATGGCGATGAGCTTACCAGCTCGTCGAAAGCAAAGACTAAACCCAAGAACAATAAGTCAAAGCTGCGGCCACTTACGCCTCCATTGATGCTGGAAAAACCCATCCGGCCGAGAAAGTCAACCCCAACACCATCGCCTTCACCGGAACCAGAATCTAGTCCGTTTGACCCTATCGATATCGAACACGATACCGCTCTCCCCATCCACGGGCGCCAAGTGTTTGTGCCCGAAGTTTACGAAAACAAACCGCTTCCTAAGCTCATGTATGACACATCGCTTAGTGGCATCAATGACTTGTGTCTGCCTGGGGAATCTGTCCCTCTTGTCGATGATCTGGCAGTGGCAATTTGTATGAGTCATCCGAGAAATTACCGCAACCCTCCACCCGGCTTTCCACCGTTTTTCGGTGATGATGACACTCCTGGGGTATCACCCGCTGTTGAAATTCGGTTTCTTTTTTACCCTCAACATCGTGAGCTGTTCAAGCTTTGCGTACCGAAACTGAACGAGTTGGACCCGGTCTATGAGATTGTCCGGTTATGGCAAATTCACTACGCCATTTACTTTGCGCACCTGGATTACATTCGTTACGAGATTGTCCATTTATGTCGCGAGCTTGACGAGGCGTTTGCTCAACTGGATTTCGCCCAATTCTTATATGTTATTGACAAGTGGAATGAGCTTATGTTGCTCTTAAGTCCCAACCGAGCGGCCGTCCGCGAGATTGAAGCTAGTGGTCAAACAGACGTAAATTTCAAAGTGCGCCAACAATTTTTGGCTCCTTGTGAACGTAAAAAGGTGACGCAAAACGACTTGAGGTTGCACATGTGGATTAGCGAAATTATGGGCGAGCCATTATCTCCCGCTTTTGAACCTACCATAGATTCGATCGTGGAGGCGACTCAAAAGACGACAATTACTGACGGCACCACTGATAACACATCTAATGGTACCAGTAATGGTGACAGCAATGGCACCAGCAACGGCAAACTCCATTCTGAAGCTAATGAAGTAACGATTCCAAATGGGAGAGGCGACAGTACTATCGGAGGCAAAGCAGGCCTTGGCTCCGTTGACGTGGTTAAGTCGCCCCAATATGTGATTCCTAAGGAACTCTACGCATGTATGTACGAACGTCTTCAGGAAAAGACGTCGTGGCTGCGGTTTGCCTCGCAGATGATTCTTCTTCGCGTATACGCCCGGGTGGTATCTCCCAATTCCCGCAAGCTTCGAGCCTACAAGCTGTTCACAGCTGAAGTGTACGGGGAATTGCTTCCTTCATTCACGTCTGAAGTTTTACAGAAAGTCGGATTGAAGCCGAATCAAAAATTCTACGATTTGGGGCTGGGGGTCGGCAACACCGCCTTTCAAGCGTCACTAGAATTTGGTGCCATTATAGCCGGCGGCTGTGAGCTTATGCCCCATGCATCCAAACTCACCATATTGCAAGAAAACATGTTAAGGCGGCATCTCAAGTTATTTGGGCTTAAGCAACCTAAGTTTAAGTGGGCGCTTTCGCAGCTGTTTGTCGATAATGCTCCAGTCGAGGAATTCTGTCGCGATTGTGAGGTTGTGATTGTCAACAACTACTTGTTCGACGTCAATCTCAATGCTGAGGTGGGGCGCTTGTTGCGTGATTTGCGGCCTGGCACTAAAATCATCAGTTTGCGCAACTTCATCTTGCCTCGTTACCGAGCCACGGGTGACCTGGTGTTTGATAAGCTTAAGGTGGAAGAGCACGAGATGAGTTACGAAATGCTGGTGTCGTGGACGGCAAGCAAAGTACCCTACTTCGTACTGACAGTGCAGGACCATATCCTTCCCGAATACTTGTCAGCATAGATAATCGATATAACTCAAAAATGTATGGTTGGTTTTTTTTCAATCTTATAACAAAATTCGACCAAGTTAAGCTTGTTCTGATAATACATGGGGTATAGGTTGGGAATATATTACAATGCTAAAGGTGTCTAGATTTGTCTAGACGTCATCTTCGTCGTCTTCCTCCTCCTCATCGTCCTCGTTCCACGAGTTTTCCACGGTATCTCTCACTCGCTTCACGTATTGTGACCGGTGGTCCTTATACAAGTTAGCGGCCTCAACGTTGGCGGGAGAGTTAATGTTGGGGTCATTAAGTAACGACTGGATCGAGGTCAAAATCAGGGACACGTCGTAGGTGGGAGACCAGCGGTTCTGCAAAATGTCGAGACAGAGGTCACCACTGGCGTAGACGTTGGGGTGGAACATTGGACTGAGGAATTTGACGCTGGGAGGTTTGTTGGGGTATTGTTCGTCAAACTGGAGCACGAGACGGAAGGTGCCGTCTTCGTAAGGAGTGTCGTTGGGCCCGATGATCACCGCGTTCCACTTCATGACGTTATCGGGCAATGGCAGCGCCGACACCCCCAGGGGAGGGTCTTGCTGTATACGCTAAAAATAGTTAGCAGATGTTATTCCAAAGGTAAAAACGCCCAAGGCAAGCCAGGCTTACATACCTTAAAGTCCCGCATAAGTCGTCTTTTGGCCGGGGTCGACATCTTGTGGGTGGGTCTGTGGCAAAAGACGTTGGTGCGACTTCTCGATCACCAAGGTCCGCGAAACGCGGTAGCGATAAAATGATGACTGACGAAATTGCGGGGAGGAGTAGAGCGAAATACACAAGATAGTGGTAGTTCGATGAAATAATGAAGATATCTATAGAGCCGTGAATTTTGGGGCGATACTATCCTTGTTTCCTTCCCAGTAAATGAACTGTTGTGGTCTAATTTGAGCTCGGAGTCCAACTGCCTTTGCCACCGATAATTTGCCACCATAACGAACATCAGTGAGTGCGAGGCAGCGAACACCGGTCGCAATCGCCATTAAACACTTTTCGAAGTTATTAAAAAATCTTGGTTAACAAACGCTCTCTGAGGCAAATAGAAGAGCTCAGTTAGTTTTACTGTTGGACGATGGTTCTTATCTATCAAGTCGAAGATTTGATCACTGTAGATTTACGATTCCCTCGCGTGCTTCGTTGAGAGGTACAAGTACCTTACTGGTTGGTGATCACAATGTAGCGTTGCCGTAGATTACCAAGACGTCTCAGTTGAAGCAGCAACCAATTATTCCGAAAGTTTTGAAGTGTATGCTTTTATGATATCATCTCGTGGGTGAAAGGGACACGACGATTTTGATTACGTCACCAGTGAAAGGAGGAGAGAGACTGTGAGGTATTTTGAGAGATTTTCCCCATAATTCCGCCGAAATACCGCTAACTAGATTTCAACACTAAATCAATGTCCATTCAATGAAACTGGTACCATCGGATTCTCCTGTCTTTTTTGAACAATTTTTGTTAGCACGCTATGGGGCCATTTCCAGCCAATCTTACAGAAATGGCTCTACATTTTAGAGTCGGGACTGCACACAGCTAATGAACCTCTCAAATATGTGAGCCCCCCAAACTCAAGAGCAATCGAGCCAGAAAAAAAGTTAAGAAAACAATTACCTACCAACAATGTGAGTTGCCGCCGTCCAGGCAATATGTAGCCAATTAAATGGGCACCTTCATTAACCGGACGTCAGACACGACGCATCCACGGTGTTTTCCGGTTGATGTGTTTATCTATGAATGTGCCGATAAAAACGCCTGGAAACCGAGCATAACAAAGTCACTTTTTCATCATTCGTTACAAAAACGACGGAAACTACCCTCTAAACATTTAGGGGTTATTGTCTGCTTGACTTAGGGTAAATTTTGGACGGATACGATCGTCGGGTACAATAGCTCGTGGCGCTTACATCATTTTCAGTGTTTAGATACCCGCATCTGTTGTTTTCTCTGCACGTTTCGCACTGAAAAACAACATACACACAACGTCTATGACGGGGAACATGCTGTTGCTTGCGTTTACAGTCTCTTGGCCAAATTTCATAGTCACCAATATCTAGAGCCACCTCCTTCGTTGTCACTGTCGAGGTGCCTCGGTCGTGTCGCGTGCACATGCCCAGTGCCGTACAAGCCTTGGGAGTGTATATATCCAGCTGCAGCGGAGGGTGTGCACACGGCGAAGTCTATTCTGCAAAAAAATTCTCCGTCAATGTCGGGCGCCCACCACCGAGTAGGGCGGTGGCGACGGGGATTAGTGTCCAAATTGCTTGCATCATGCTAAATATTGCTGTCAAAAGTCTAAACATTGGGGCAACCAAGGGGGTGGCACAGTCAGATGGGTGTAGCGGCGAGCTCGGCTGTTAATTATAGCTACACGGCTGGTGTTCCGTTGACGTAGATCACTCCTATTCACCATGTTCTCTGAGCTCTTTAGATTTTGAAAGGGCTACACTCGGCAATAAGCGATAGTCACCACCCTGGCTACCAGTAAAATCAAAACATTTCTATCAATTTATACTACAATTTCTAAAAGGTATCATATCTCGGATTAACGCTCCGGAATGTTATATAGTTACAATAAAATCGAACGAACAAAAAAACCCCAATAATAAAAAATCATGTCATCATCATTTAGTAGAAGACAAAGTTCGCCTTACCAGAGACAACAGTGACGGTGCACCCATCCGAACCCGAGCCCGAGTACTGGCCGTTTTCGTACTTGCAGTCACCGACGACGTTGGCGCCTTCTTCGGCGACAATCTTGATGTTGTAGTTGGGCTTGTCACGGTTGTTGGGGTTGGGGATCAACGAGAGGTAGGTCTTGCCACCGGTGGTACCGGCACCGAGGACCACGGGGGCCCAGTTACCGACACCGGAGCCGTCAGTACCCCAGATGCAACCATCTTGAACCGAGACACCAGCGTTGTTGACGTAGTATTGCGACGAGGTCTTGCCACCTCTCCACTTGAAGTAAGTGTCGGAGTCGACCACCGAGCAAGGGGCGTTGCCGTTAGCTTGCAAGAGGGTAGGGATGTTCATGTTTTCCGAACCGGGGTAGTCGGTTCTGCAAATGGCGACATCCTTGTCGATCTTGGAAACAAAGCCGGCGGTTTGGGCACCCCATTCACACAAGTACTTGGCGTCGGTGTTGGTACGGTACAACTTGCCGTTCTTGCATTGCAAACCACCGACGGAGGCACCGGAGGCGGGTTGGTTGGAAGGCCATTGGGTCTTCGACATACCAGCGGCACACGAGTACGAGCAGATGAACCCGTCCTTGCAAGTGGACGAGGTTTGCACACCGTCAGGCAGCGAGATCGACGACCACCCACCTTGGATGGAGTCGATCCAGGTGATGGGAATCACACCTTGACCGGTGGGCACTTTGTCACAGTCGTACTTGCCGTCTTCAAACTCTTCGGTGGGAGCTTGGTAGGCCTTCAAGTCACCGCCGATCGACTTGGCGATGTCGGTGTCGGATCTGCGGTGCGAGTGGCCGTCGACGGAGTCACCACGCTTGTGTTGGTGGTGGGAGTGTTGGAAAGGAAGGGCGGCGACGGAGGCGGCCATGGTGAAAAGAATGGACAACTTCATTTTTTTGGTAGTATGGGCACGAGTAACACGGGGAAACGAAAGACTGGAGTTAAGGAAGGACTGTAGTTAGGTGTTTGAAGGCGTGCTTGAAGTCAAATCAATGCGCGAATGATTTGTTTATATATGATTAGACGAGCACCGCTTCGGGATCGATGTGGTGCAACGCCCTGCGGTGTGCACACAGGCATTATTAATGCTGAGTATTTTTTTTTCTGGCCTTTGGTGGAGCGGCATCCTGTACAGGGCGCGTAACCCACAGGTCCTCGACCCTGTCTAGTTTCTTTTCTGTCCCCCACCAAAGCCCCGCTGCCCTCACGTCGCCACTTAGTATTCCATCGCACTCTAGACGCTACAAAAACTCGCCGCGGCGATCAAACACCGGCGCTGACCCGCCAATGGTGCCGCCACGATGCCGCGACATCATCTAGACCCACTCGACCACACCTGCGACATCCACATCGAATCACACGCCATTGACCCTGTACGTCGATTGCCACCGTCCCACCAATTTCATGTCGGCCGATGAGCTTGTCTCTAAGTGGACACTCTGCTTCTTAGTTTACCTCTGTCAGTGGCCCCCAGCCATGTTGGTGCAGGTTCGCTCTCGCTCGACTCGGTAATATCAAAACATTGGGAGCAGGGGTTTCGAGCAACCGGAGATGGTGGAGCAAACGAATTGACCCGGGGCTCGCCTATTCGAGGGGCCCTGGCCCTCACCTCTGGCTTAGGAATTACCTTTCATTGTCACATATCGTAGCATTTGACGGGTTGTCGGTTGGCGGCCCCCCTCGTTGGTGGCGGTCTACCGTCACACTGGTGCCGCGGGGTCTAGGCCCCCCCACTAACGTATGATCTGCGTCTGCCTGCTGCCACCGCGTGAAAAAGCCTTTCCCGTCTGGGGTTGTCCGATTGATTGACGAATGGGACTAAGGGGCCAAGCTAGGAGCTTAGCCCCGATGCCCCACTTATTCATGGTGCCGCAGTGGCCAATGGCTACAAAAAGAGATGGTGCGATGGTGTTTGTTTTTCGTTGGTCGCGACTACACTTCAAACCATGGGTCGACGTAGGTTTTCCGAGGGACGTCCCCGGCGACGTGGTGACGGCTAAAGGCGCTGACGACCCGGTGACGCGGTTAATGGCTCTCCGTGAGACACTCTACGACTGGCTGCCGATGTCGACTGCGTCGATAATTATTTTCCGGTGATCCTGTGGATAACGTCGGCATCGTTCACGTGATTAGCCGCGGCACGACCTAGGTGAAACCTGGTATCGCCACGCCCACCACTGTGACCCCCGAATTCCATGGCCAAACAGGGGAATCCCGATACAAGCGCATTATCCTGTGCTTGTACACGATCTCCCTTGAGCAAGGGTTGACGTTTGCCGGCTAAAGGCAACGGTGAAACTGTAAACGAAAAACTGCGGGGGGGACGGGGTGCCTAATTTTTTTGACACCAGTGGTCGTAGGGGGTAACCAGGGGGTGATCCTGAGCCAAGCCCAGCCCCAAGCGGCTCCCCTTGTCGTCTATACGGCATATACAATCCAACGGCTATCTGCATGACCTCTATATTATCTGCATGAATCATGCATATAGCACGTCTTGGCAACGGCTAATATACCGACACTGCCTAAACAGATGTATAGCGACAAAACTTGCTCTCACACGAGTAGGCGCTAGCAACCTTGCCCCAACATTCGGAGTGGGGCACCGCTACTCCACCCACTGGCTACGTTGTGTGTCTCATGACTTACCCCGCACATCTCGCTCCCCCGAGTGGTATTCGCCCCGCCAGCGGTACCTAGCCGTAGTCCTGTCATGCGGTCTAGACCGTCGTCGATGGGCCCGATTAGTTTTTTATTGGCTGCAGCAGACGTCAACGACCCCACCGCCATCACTGCCCCTCTGTGGTCACTACTACATCGACCTGTCAGCCCCCTCGTCGCCACCACTAAGCGATGACGAAAAAGAAAAGCTCGGTTGCATTTCCTTCTGGTCTTGGCTTTTGAGACACCATGGTCATTAGGCGGTGATGAGCTGTCGTCACCGTATACTGTGCCGCTAAATCATCTTGCCACCTGCAGTGACGGTTTTGCGGAACATTGTCGACCATAGACTCCATCGCCATTGGCTGCGTGGATACGATAACACAAAAGTATGCTTCGAGGTGGGGAGAAATTTTTCGGGGTTACATTTCTTAGCCAATGTCGCCATTGACATTGATTGGCTTGGTGAGGCTGTTGCCCACTAAGCACCGTAAAAGCTTATTTCGCCATTTCTTTTCATCCGGCTTGCGTCCACGGATAACGGTTAGTGCTACACGTCACCATGTAGGCTGGCGAATACATTACGGTCACGTATCGCATTTCATTACTGTGCCATCATTTGGGGGCATCGCTTTAGAGGTCCAACCGTGACCGCGCCATCGCCGCCTTTAGCTCTTCGCATCATCAGCGCTGAGTGAAAAATTTTATCCGTGGTGGGTCGAGACCAATTTTACGAGTCATAGAAAGTAGGTTCAGCAAGTAGATTTGGGGATAAATTTTACGGGGCAATTACCGAATGGTTGCTACAAGTTATTTGCCGATGATGAAAACATTCCCCGTCCACTCACTGTGGGGTTGCTCCCAAAGATCGGCTAACCGTTATGGCACACGACTATTTCCATTTGTGTCCCCAGCACTGCCTGGCAACAAACAATAGCGCCATGCGGGGAGGGCCTAGATCAATGCTGGCACTCTCCTTAAACCAATCTCGCTTGGGTAAGGCCGAAAATTTATTGTCTCTGATTTTGTTGATAGAATTTCTTCAACTTAAATTCTAGGGAAGGTCGCTAATGGAAAGTCTATTATCGCAGGGATGAAGTAAGGGCTCAAACGAAATCCCGTATGGCAGCTCATACGAGAAAGTCCGAGAATGTTCAGGGGCAGAAACGTGCTTCCATATAGCCACTAGCACTTACCTAGCCCCTATAGGATGGGTTATTACCTACGCACCCTCCATAAGGGGGGGTGCCAAAATTGCCACTTCGGCTCGAGGCCCGTACTACACAGTCTACAGATCGTTGCCGGGCAACCACCCGTCTATTTTTCCTAATTTGTCAGGGGCAAGGGATAGCGACACGGTGGTCGCAGACATCTGTGCTGTAGACGGTGGAGGGAGCAACTGGTGGCAACCGGCAGTGCCAATGACAATGGAGTAAATTTCAGTTGGTCCAGACTCACTGTAAGTTTTTTTTATCCATGATCAGTCTTCGTAAAAATAAAAGTACAGCCATGTAGCATGTTTGGTCCGGTAATGACAATTGCTTAGGTAAAATGGATCGGCTCAGTGATGGTCCAACTTGTACTTCAATAACCTCTGAGAAGCGGATTATTATCAAAGCATCAATCGCTAAATTGAAGGTATCTACATCATAGCTACCTGGAATACAACTATTATTATAGTATCTGGTGGTTTTAAACTCGTAATACATTAGTTTTTTGTGTGGTACATCTAGATGATGTCGCCGTTGGCAAACACTTTACCCTTGACAAACTCCAACCCTTCGCCGCCGTAACTGGTGGCGGGGGTCACTTCCACAAGCCCGTCGACAATACCGCCGTTGTTGCGCACCCACAGCGTGCCCAATTCGAGGTAGTGGTTGCGACAGGTGGTCGGGGTATCGTTTTTGGCGCCGTCGGCGTTTTTAAGCGGCGAAAACTCGTCGCTACGTTCAACTTCTAAGCACCCGAACTTGTTCATTGGCACCAGGGGGAACACGTCAAAGATGAACTGTTCGAGCTTGATCCCGTTGGGTTCAGTGGGCTTAGTGTAGACACCCTTTTCGTTCAAGCCAGCGATCTTCTTCTTGGCAATGTGGAACGGCAACCACTGGGGCGAGTCCACCCACTCGGGCAACAGCTTCACCAACGCGTCCACCGAGTAGTAGTGGTTGACGATGTTGGCAGCACGCAAAAACAACCGCCCGGGGTTGGCAGGGTCGGTTTGCAGGGCGAGCTCGGGGGTGATTTCCGAGTATTCAATGACACAGGGACGACCAGTGCCCTCATCCATCACGATCAACCCGACACTTTCCAGAGCGTCACGTTTGCGCACCACCTTAGCGGCGAGGTCAAACTTATTGGTGATGGAGAACCCGAGGAAGGCGGGGTCAGCCACCTTGACGAGGGCATTGTCGACACAGTACAAGTGGAGGTGCTTGATCCCCCTCTTTTGCATGTCGTCGATGGGACCGGTTTGCAACGCCTTGTAGAAGCCACCGTTACCGTCGGGCGACTCACAGTAGCGGTCTTTTTGTTCCAACAAAATCTGAGTACCGTCCTCGTTGAAGCAAGGGAGAGTACCTTGGTTGAAGAACATGATTTGCGACTTGTCGAGGCCAAAGTAGTTGTGGGCCTCAAAGAAGTCTTCCGTGGGTTGACGCGTGGGAGCTGAGGTCATGATGTACCAGGGAATAACACCACCGGCTAATTGTTGGATCTTAATGATCCGTTCCGCCTGGATTTGGAACAACAGCTTTTTCGAAGGTAAGCCGACGTCGTAGCACCCTTTAGGCGCCAGCGACCCGAGACGCGTACCTTGGCCCCCGGCGATCAACACCACGGCGACTTCGCCAGCCTTAATGGCCAGCAAACCGGCCTGGGTCCACTGTTGCTGAGTGGCGGCGTCGGCGTCGTCAACCAGCGCCGTTTGCGACGACGGGAGCTGGGTCAACTGACGGGCCAGAGCGGCGTTTTTCAGGTACTCGATCGCCTGCTTCACCAGCGACATCAACTTGGCCGGGTTGGGGATTTGCGAGAGCTGCTTGGCGAAGCTCTGCTGCTGGGAGAGGGACAAGCCGTCCCAGTACTTGAAAAGCTGCTCCTGGCCCGCCTGTTTGAATGAGTCGACGATGGGTTCGATGGACGACGTGGTCATTTGTGGTAACGAGGAGGTGAAGACGTGTGCACACAGATCAGAGACGCTTGCGAGGTGAAATACCAGGAACGACAATAAGGTAAGGGGAAAGCAGCGGAAACACGAACTCCGTTTGAAATGCAAAAAGTTAAAACCAATAAGGTGGGAAAGGTTCAACAAAGAGAAGCTGGCACTAGTGGGATTTACGACTATATAAGCGTGGGTCGACGGTGCTGGTTTGGGGGTACAGTATGGCTGGTGATCTGGGCACTGTGTGCAGGATCGAGGTAAACAGGACACTATTTTTGGGGGTGAGAGTTAAGTAAAGAGGCGGAGTCAGGGCTCATGGGAAGTGGGAACCTAGAGTAGCACTGTTTAGCCCTTAATGGAGAGAGTAGTAAAAGGGGTTTTGTTTTTTTTTGGTAACTTGTGTGATGCGCAGTGCCTTCTATTTCACCCCTTAAAGGTCTAGATCAGTCCGGGACCTGGGGATCACTCAACTGTCACAAACTGAGGCGTGTTGGTGATTACGCACATCATATAACCGAGTGGGCACGACGAGCAAGTAGCCTCGTGCTGTTCGCTGCGCGCGTCGCACACCTCGGCACATTGCGGCATAACAAACGCGTCGAGGTGAAATACGAGAGTAGTGCTCTAGCTCATCCACGTCGAATTTTCAATTTGGTCTTTCGATGAAGTCTCGGTTCGGGTGAGTGATTTTGTATCTCGAGAGTAAGCTTGGCAGTTGTTTACCTGTCTAGTCAGGAGTGACGCGGCGGCGGCTATATTTGTGCCGATCGTTTCTTTTCGCACGACCGCGAGCCAGCGATGCCAAAACACCAATAGGAAGTCACGGAGCTGTTTAACTAGGCTAGACTAGAGTAGCAGTAAATGATATATTCAATAAGTCCTATACGCGGTATACTCAAAAGTTTCTCATATATTAAACACCGTGCTGTAGGGGTTTGTCATGTTTAGGCCATGATCATGAAGGCACCGATGACGGCGGCCAACGAAGGGAAGATGGCGGCAGCACCCGACTTCTTGTTGTCGCTGTTGTTGGACGACGACGAGTCCGAGCTCTTGGAGTCGCCCGATTGCTTGCCGCCCTTGCCGGTGGAGGTGGCCGAGGCCGAGTCGGAACCCGACGAGGTGTCCTTCTTGGCGGGGGCCGAGCACACGGGGTCGTTGGCCTTAACCTTGCTCTTGTCCAACGCCTTGGAGCAGTCCAACTCGTCGTTGGTCGATTCCAAAGTGAAAGTACCGGCGACTTGCTTCAACTTGGGCAATTCAAACGAACCAATGTCCCCCTTGATGTTGAGGGCACCCTTGATGTCGGTGACTTCGGGGAAGGCGTCGCCGAGGTCTTCCAACTTGGTGTTGTTTTCGAAACCGAGTTCACCGCCAATGGTGGTCAACTTGGGGAACGACACGTTAAGCAACTGGGTGTTGGCAACAATTCTCACCGACCCGTCGACTTCTTCGAGGTTGGGCAACTCGAGGTCTTCGAAGAACCCGTAGGCGATCTGGAAGGTCAGGTTGACGGCCTTGAGCTTCTTAAGCGACACCAGGGCGACATCCTGGATGACGACCGAGTAGGCTTCTTCCAACGAGTCCAAGGTGACGTTGGCGTTGTCGTCGTTGAACGACAAGATAAGCAGGTCGGTGATCTTCTTCAAGGGCAACTTGATCAGCGACATGTTCTTGTTGTTGTCCAAGTCCAAGTACGCCATTTCGGTGACGTTGGACACGAGACCAGTGAGTTCAGAAAGAGCGGTGTCGGAGATGGTCAACGAGTTGAGCTTGGTCAAACCAGTGTTCAAGTTCATCCCCGATAACGAGGGCATGGTGACCAACGACAAGTTACCCGTGACCGACGACAACTTGGTGAAGTCGATGTTGAACACCGAGGTGAACTTGGCGATGTTCAATTGGCCATCAACTTCTTCCAAGCCACCCAACGAGATCAGGGTGACCGAGGTCGAGTTGGTGAGGTCCAAGTTACCCTTCAACACTTGCACTTGCGACAAGTCGACGGCGCCGCCGAGACCGTCACCTTCGACGGTGATGTCCCCGGAAAGGGTGGGGCAGGCGTTCAACGCCGCCACGCCGGCGGCGTCGGTCACGGTGGTCAGGAACAGGCACTTGGCCGACGACAGAGCAGCCACGGCGCCAGACACGGCAGTAGCCACCACAACAGCACTCTTGAACGATACCATAGCGGTTACTAAGCAAAAGTCTCCTCCGCAGGCGCGACCCGCTTTTAATATAACGAAAAATTTGCCGATTGACGCGCCTAAAGGGTAAACATAGCAAAACGCGGCAGCAGCGAGAGACGAGGCGGCCCGCGGAACGTGAGCACCCGGAGATCCGTGGGCTACAGACGGAGGTTAGGGGGGGGGGAGGGNGGGGGTTAGGGGGGGGGAGGGTCAGGCCTGGTATGGGCCGGTGCCAAGGGTGGCTAGTTATTTCGGGATAGAGGTTTCGTGCCAAGGTCGTAAACCGTCATGGTTTCTCCTCAGGGAGGCTTTGATTATGTCGCTCACAGGGGGGGGGTGATCAAGCACAGGATTCGAGGCATTGGCGCACGCCGGGGGGCACGAGCATGGAGAATGGCAGAGCGCCAAATCAGCTCATGCCCACCATGACTTGTGGGTGCTGGCAGATGGTAGAGGATGAGAAGGTGTTGCTACTATCCACGGTAAATCGTTGAAAATCTCGTGGTGGCGATGGTGTTTGTTGTTGGGCGGGATCAGCTGCGAACTAGTGAAATTTACCGCGGTTCTCGTCGCACGAGCCGGACGCCGAATTGCTCCGCACCCGATGTTGTTTAGCTTCGGAAGCAGTGATGACTACGGCTTAGATCGGTTGAAATGAGGGGTTTTGTGGATATTGGTGCATCATGGACGGTGCCTCAGATATGGTGGGTACGGTGGTAGAGGCCACCGTCTTAATTTAGACGCGTAGGGGGTGGTAGTAAGGTAGTGAAGGGGACGCTGGAGAATAATGGTTTGAGGGTTACTCTCCAGTTACCTCTGTTGCGAGCCCGGGCCACTGATGGGGGTTCGCGAAAGACATAGCCTCGTTCGACCCTTTTATTTGAGGGGGTACGAGCAGGTGAAATTTCCCTGTAGTTTCCCCCACACAAACAATAGCTCTACGTTGCCACTGGCGTCTCGCCGTCAGGTTCGCCTCAAAAACACTGGTGAGGCATCGCCCCTCACATACGCCGTGCCTCTCCCCTCGATCGCAACCTGTTATCGCCAAAGCTTCTCTCCACGCACAGGTAGATCACAAAACCCATCTTATAAAAACATCGTAAGGCGGTGCTGGAGAGCTTATTACACGTAGATGTTCATAATATACTCGTACTAACAATAACACGTGGGGTTTTTTTTCGCGTTTCGATGGTAGTTAAAGTGTGAGGGTACGGCTAGAGATACTTACACAGCCACCTCCAACTGCATTGACGACAGCCGTACGCGCTTGGACAATGGGTTCCGGACAATTGCAATGTTTTGACGCGTGAGATGTATCATTACATGGTGTAATTCACTTGTTTACGTTGAATTCTACGCTGATGTGGATGTGCTTCAATGGTGATGGTAGAATGCGAACTGGCGAACTAAATGTTAAAAATCAGAAATTTTGGTGGCCTTACAAAGCTTTGACACACAGCCATAAAAAAGGCTCTTTTGACAGATCTAAGAATCTAGACCACTAGCTCAACGTAAATTAGGCCACACTTTTCTCTTGAGGTGACATTCCACCGATAGATGAGTTTAGCTCATTGAGATTCACCACATTCCGATGAACGTCTAATATATGAACAACGCAATAACTAAACCCAATCTTTGAAAACGTCTTTCATACCCCCATCTACTTGGTCGATTTCATTTTTAGCTTGCTGGTTTCACCCATCGCGTCTGTTTCTCTCACCCATTTGTCGTTGGTCGATTGCTGCATGGATTTATTTGTTTACAAAAAACGAGAACAAGGCAATCAGATTACGCTCACTGCTCACTCTCCGCAGACAAACCCGCTACAGTTGCTACTATATAAACAGAGACCACCGTATCCACCACTAAACCAGCCGTGCTGTGTACCTAGGGTCGACGTTATATTTGCTATCAGCATTTTGTAGACAAAGAGGCACGCCAAACGTGTTAACTTTAAATTTTTACGCTTCGCTTTGACATGGTGAGAGGTCTCGGCACAGGGTCCATGCCAGGGTTCTGCTCGCCAGGGGCGAAAGTGACGCGAATTAACGCTATTTTTCGAACCTTATCTTTGAAGTATTTCTCGCTCCCAGCCTCACCCGGGCCATTAAATAAAGTGATACCAGTATGACACCCGTGGCAAACGTCACTATTTTGAGCAAACCCTTCCCGATAGCTAGTCCCATCTTGCAGTAGGTGGTGGGACGCAGTGTCAGACGTCAAGCTGCACTGAGCTGCCACTGGGGAGATGACCTACTGCTGATCGCAACGGCACCGCCAATCAAAAGTTCAGTCCTAGCTTGGTTTGCGAGTCTAGTCTATATAAAACCATAATCCCTGGTTTATAAGGGATTTTACGGCATTTTCTCCTGAGCGTGGCGGCACCGTTGGCAGGGGCGGCTCTCACCAAATTGTTGTAGTCTTCGGGCCCGATTAGGCAAATGATAAACATACCCTGCACACAAATAGGACTAAATGGGAAAAAACCCCAACACCCCCGTTCGCGTTATATACTCTTGAGGATCGCGTCCCCGAGGCCATCTATCTCCCTACACAAACCAACCATGGACGCGATGACGGCTCGGCGACAACCGGACCGCCACCCGCTGGGAGAAAACCTGTCGTCTGATACCTATACCGAGTCGGAGTCGGAGCACGTC